TCTTCTCATTGGATTATTAAGGTATATTTCATTGAATGGAAACGTTCCCATTATTATTAAACTCTGATGAGATCGAATTACATGTATATACTTGTGGCAAGCCCCATTTTTAATCCACGATGTGGAAAATTATTAATTACACTAAAGAAAAGCTTCCCTAGTAAAACATTCCTATTACATTCCCCTGCCCCATCACAGGTTCCCAGGTACTAACATAGACCAAATATTCGTGCCATAAATACAGGTCTTACTCATACAGAGTATAATGTCTTACCATGTGGAATTATATTAGAAATAAGTAACAGAAAGATATTTGAACAGCCCAAATATCGATATCCGTGGTTCATTTCCTCAGTCACTCAACACATAGTGGCTAAAAATGGGGCAGATCTTTGCCCTGCGTCCAATACAAGACTGAGGTATTTCCCAAAACTTCTTATTGAAATTCACTGTTAGAAAATGCTCTGGACTCAAGATCCTATGTGATTTTGTCCAAATTCAACCTGGCCCCCTAACCTTTTGTGTTAATGGTATAAAATTCCCACTCTTAGCTCTGCTTTGGTTTGGCACTCTATCTAGATTGCCTCACTGTGGTGCCGTGTTTATAAAGCATCCAAGCTACAGGCAAGGCTATAATTTTAGTTTCCTTCTTTTTGCAGAAGGTCAAAGTTTTCTAAAGATATTAGTGCAGCGGTTCTCAACCTGTGGGTCGCAACCGACCTCTTTGGGGGTCGAACAACCCTTTCACAGGGGTCGCCTAAGACCATCGGAAAACACATATATAATTACATATTGTTTTTCTGATTAATCACTATGCTTTAATTATGTTCAATTTGTAACAATGAAATTGGGAGTCACCACAACATGAGGAACTGTATTAGAGGGTCGCGGCATTAGGAAGGTTGAGAACCACTGTATTAGTGGATCAAATGGAATTGTCTCTTTTTGAAAAGGTACATGAACAATGGGAGACATTGCATTTGACCTTTAGGATCTTCTCCCTACTTCTCCCCCTCCTTCCCTAGATGCTAAGCCTTGTCAGGGCCTAGTACTTTCTCTTCATTCATTGCTTTCCCACAACAGCTGGAAATTGCATGTGATGCACACAAGTGGTTCCGGATGCTCAGTTCCAGACAGGTCGGCCGGGTCTTGCTAGATGACATTGGGGAGAGTAAAGAGTGTCCTGTGTGCTGGAATCAGGGGAGATGCAAGGACACCTGTGAGCATTCCAGAGCACAGTGTTGGACAATGGCATTGAGGAGCCTCTGGGGTGATTTCCCCCGTGGTCAGAGCTGCCTGCATTTTTACCCTCCCTTCTTGGCCTCAACACTCCCAACACTGGAATTTCTTCAGATGACTACCGTGTTTGGTTTTCAACCAGGACAAACACAGAAAAGAGATTTCTTTTTCTGTCTGCTTTTGCTGAATGGAATATCTTGGTTCTACTTACTGGTCATGCCTTAGACACCGTGGGGCTGGTTAGGACATTAAACTCTGAGCACATAGGACTCCTAGCTTTACTGAATCCTTTTCCATATCCTGAGTACAAACTTCATCTTTCCCCTTACCCCCCAAAGCCCTTCAATCTATGGGTAATTCTACAGCCAATTCCCAGCTAATATTCTTCCCATAAATTGTTATTTCAGCTAAACTTTCCCAAACTTGGGCATTCTTACCAAATATTTTGGGCTTCCTCACAATCTAGCTATCTTCTTATCTGCATGCTTTTCTGGTATAATTTTAAAATAGTGAAAAATCTCCTCTTATTTTTAAGGGTGCACAATAAGTTCAGCCCCCTAAGTGATGTTGCAGAAATCTGCATACCTAATTCCAGCCATCCCAGAGTTTCAGGTAAAATTTCTGTGTGTGTGTGTGTGTGTGTGTGTGTGTGTGTGTGTGTTTTCACCATTTCCCCCCTTAACTGAAAATCGTGAGGAACAAGAAAAAGGATTGTGAATCATAATCATTAAAAATAACATGCACACACAAACACACGGAGAGGCTTTGCACTTCCCATTTCTGACCCAGGGCTCAGGAGGTAGAGGCAACTCCAGGTGAGTAAATTCGCAGATGCCCATGCGTGTCCGGAACAGTCCCTGAGGGTCATTAGAGACTGTCAAGTGGGGGTGAGGGGGCCAGTCTTCCGTTTTGGTTTTCTTTCAGAACTTTTGTCAGGGAGCATCCTGTTCTGTTATATGCATACCCACTGCAGCCTTCAAATTGCTAGGTGGAGAACAATACTCAAGTGCCTGGCATTGGGTTAGAAATAGAAATAGCACTCAGCAGTCCTCCCCCACAAGCCCTTCTGTATTTTGCCTCTCCTTCTCCGCCCCACTCAGATCCCCAGAGCTTAACCCCATCCTCACTCAACAGTTGAAGGCATTTTTAAATGTTTTCAAATATAGCCTTGATCCTTGCACATATTTATTAAGCAGCTCCATACCCTCCAGAACATTAGGCATAAAGCTGAGCATCTTCCTCCCTCACACACTTGGGTCTGGCCAGCTGGGAGTGCTGCTGAGTTGGGGCCTCTCAGAAGGGAGCTTGAGCCCAGTCTTTGAGTGAGGGACCCAATGGGGTGGAGGCTGTGCTCCTTGGGGATTTGCATTTTGCAGGCTCTATTTAGAAGCCGTTTTCCTGCTTCTAGAAAGCAGTGGCCCACTCTGGCTATAATTATGACTAGAAAATCACTTTCTCTCAAAAACTCTATTTTCAGGTTTTTGCTATGTTTTTTAAAATGGCCTTGCAGACAGGTGGTCCCCAGTGCATCCTGTCTCCTGAGGAAGGAGCCTGGGGCTGTTTAGTAAAATGTCACTCTGCTATCTTGGAGTTACCTGAGTTATCTTGGAGGAACTGAGGTAGGGCCTTAGGGACAGCAGGGACTGAAGATTCTTGTTTTCATCACCTCGCCAGTCGGTGAAGTCTTGAGTAGGTTCATTGCGTAGACAGACCTAGAAGACAGGATTCCTGGATTGTGTACCCACTTTCCCCCTAATCAGACCTATGCTACTTCCATCCAGATAGCATCACACAATGGCCAATGGAGCCAGACTACCTAGGTTCAAATCCCACATTACTAGTTGTGTGACCTGCTTGCTCATTGTGTGAACTTGGGCAAGTTCCTGAATAATGGTATCTACCTTAAAGGATTATTGTGAGGATTAAATAAGTTAATACATGCAAAGTGTGTATTAGGATAGGGACTGGCATATATTATAGAACAATATTGTGGTTATGTTTTTTCTTTCCTTGTCTATAAAATGAGGAAATGCTATTATTAATGTTATGCTGGTCATTCTGCACTACGACAGGAAGAGCACCCATTGTGGGCTGAACACTTACTGTACATGACGTTATGAGGAGATGGAGAGGAAAATAAAGACATGCTCTTACCCACTGGGAGGGGAAGGGAAACTTTGCAGAGAGATTCTCAGAGAACATGCAAAAAGGAAAAGAATTCCAGACACTGCTTTCCCTTACGGAGACTGTCATGACACAGAGTCTGTCAGAGGCTTGGGGACCCATGGTCACTTCTCCACCCAGAACAGCATATCAGTGCAGCCTGAGGATCAAAGAAAGCTGTGGAGGGATCATGCAGGCCTCTGACATGCTCGGCCTTGATCTTTGGACTGCAGCTCCCTGCCTTAGTGATTGGCCTGTCCCTGTGGCCAATCCTCACACCCGAGGCCTCCTGTTTGGCCCAGGGTGTGGAAGGACTTGACCTGGCCAACTGGGATTTTGGCAAGGGTCTCTTGAGCACCTGATGGGCTCCAGAAATCTGCCCCAGGTGATTCTGGCTCCACCTCCAGGCCTGGCCCACACTCAGAGCCCATGCTCTGGGCACAGTGGTGCCATCTTTAGTGTGCCTGTGGCATTCTATGGCTGTGCCCAGCAAGTTGCCTCCACTTCTCTTGAACCCCCAGCCCATTCTAGGCTTTTATGATCAGAGTCCTCCTTGCTTTGTCTTATGCATCCAAATCCTACCCAAATCTATCAGGTCCACTTAATCTTACCTTCTCTGTGCCGCACCAGCACAGCCATAGGTGAACCTGAGGCAAGGGAGGTGGGGGGTGAGGGAATGGGGGGGCGGTGAAGGATTAGAAAAGACAGACAAGAGAATAAAGCTGGGGCTAGGTGGGATGCTGCCCTCTGATTAGAGAGACAGTGCCACGGCCTGCAAGCCTAGTCTTTATTTTATAGCTAGATTCCACGAGACACAGTAAGGGCGTGGTCAAGATGTTTACAATGTTCTCATGGGTTTAGAATCTACTCAATTACATGCACCTGACCAAGCTTTGTTTACTTGCTGCACCTCCTGAAGCTCATATCACTCAGAGCCACGTGGTACCACAGGTTTGGACCATAAGGTCAAGCTTACAACTATAGCTCATTAGTCCGAGGCTTGAACCTGTCCAAGCACTGTAGCCGCTCTCCACACTTCTCCATGAAGCCTTCCCTGACTGTCCAGCTCACAGCACTGTAGCTGCTCTCCACACTTCTCCATGAAGCCTTCCCTGACTGTCCAGCTCACACCACCAGCCTCACTGTCCTAAGTTTCCTAATTACTTATTCCATTTATTTGGAAATAAGAAATGTGCTTAATTATAGTTCCCAAAAATATTCAGATAGGTAGGACTGCAATTAATCACAGCCTTGTTTGGTTACAAGTCACAGGGGTGGGGGCATTGGGGACAGATCATCTATCAAGAAGCTTAAACTCTAAGGCAGTGGTTCTCAACCTTGGCTGCACATTAGAATTCTGTTTCTTTGTTATGGGGTGGGGCCACAACATTAGTAACAAAGAAACAGAATTTCCAGAGGATGAGGCCCAGAAATCAGGATTTTAAAAAGATTCCCAGGTGATTCTAATGTGCAGCCAAGGTTGAGAACCACTGCTCTAAGGGGATGGCCTGAAAAAATCCCTATTGTCATATGTTCCTTTTCAGGTCTGATGTTAATATTTAACTAAATAATGATGATGATGATGATGATAAGTAAACAATTTGGAGTCCTTGCTATGTGCCAGTACTGTACTAAAAACTTACCTAAGCTATCTGATGCCTTAATAGTAGTATTCCTATAAGGTAAGGTTGTTATTAATCCTACTATACAGATAAAGCAACCAAGATGCAGATAGGTTCAATATTGCCCAATGTCAGTATTTGAGTCAGACAGTCTGACCCCGTTGTTCATATCTTAATCATGTGTCATATTTTTCCTGAGTTTCACCTTTTCTGTTTCAGTAGAATGAAACTCTTTGAAGGCAGGCACCTGTCTCATCCTTCCCACAACCCCTGCAGCATTTAGTACATCCTTGCCTTGCAGGTAGGAGGCAGACATAGGTGTAAGTACTCAATCAGTATTCAGGGATGCCATAGTTAACAGGCCCTGCAGCAGAAAGGAGAAGGGATTGTCCAAGGTTTTTCTTAGTTCTGGGGTGACAGAATTGGGAAAAGAGACCAGGAGTCCAGGGCCCAAATACTGCTGTGTACTACCTCTTACTCTCACTGCCTTCTTGCTAACCCAGTTCTTCCTCCGTTACCACGGAGGCATCCAGCTGATCATTAGGAAGGCCTCTTCACACCATGGACATTAAGAACAGGCCCTTGCCTTAGCCGGTTTGGCTCAGTGGACAGAGCGTTGGCCTGCAGACCAAAGGGTCCCAGGTTCAATTCCAGTCAAGGGCATGTACCTTGGTTGCAGGCTCTTCCCCAGTCCGGATCCTGATCCGGGCTCATGCAGGAGACAGCCAATCAATGTGTTTCTCTCATATCAATGTTTCTCTCTGTCTTTCTCTCCCTCTTTCACTCTCCCTAAAAATCAATGGAAAAATATCCTCGGGTGAGGATTAACAACAACAAAAAAAAGGACAGGCCCAGAAATATCAGTGACTTCAGGTTAATGCTTACCAGGACCAGGGAGTCCCAAACATTGCCTAGAACTGCAAATGTTCTGTCTTGAGGACAAACTCATCCTGTCTCCAAATGTACCAGCTTCCAGCTTCCCTCAGAATTTCTCTCGATATTTGTCAAGTTAGTGATTGTGTGTGTGTATACATATATGTATATATATGTCCATATATTGTATATACATATATATATCCATATATATATTTTGGGGTTTTTTTACTTTTCTTTTTTCAATTTTATTTTTTAATTAGAGTTCATATTCAATATTATTTTGTATTATTCATGTATACAGCATAGTATTTAGATAATCATATACTTTACAAAGTGACCCCCAATATTTTCAGTACCCACCTGGCACCATACATAGTTATTAGAATATTTTGACTATATTCCATATGCTGTATTTTACATCCCTGTGATTATTTTGTAACTATCAATATGTACTTCTTAATCTTTTCACCCAGCCCCCCAACTTCCCTCTGGCAACTATCGATCTGTTCTTTTTGTCTATGAATCTGCTTCAATTTTGTTTTGTTAATCCTCACCCAAGGATATTTTTCCATTGATTTTTAGAGAGAGTGGGAGGGAGAGGGAGAGACAGAGAGAAACATCAATATGAGAGAGACACATTGATTGGTTACCTCCTGAATGCAGCCCAACCAGGGCTGGGGAACCTGCAACCAAGGTATGTGCCCTTGACTGGAATCAAACCTGGGACCCTTCAGTCCACAGGCCGATGCTCTAACCACTGAGCAACTGGCTAGGGCAATCTGCTTCAATTTTGTTTGTTTATTTTGTTCTTTAGAGTCCACATATAAGTGAAACTACCAGTATATGATATTTTATTGTGGTTTACTTATACATCTTATTTCCTCCACTATACAGCAAGTTATTGAAAGCAGAATTCAAATCGTATTTATTCATATGTTTTTCTATATCCTAGTACATATTTATGCTCCCTCATGTCCCCCAAATCCTAGTATCCTAACCTAATTAGAGCTCCAAAAATATTTCTTGGATAAGGCAATTTTAAAAATCAGACAATAAGTTAGTAGCCAATGTAACCCCAATAAATTTAATTTAAGTAAATAAATAAAAATAATGGCATTAAAATCACCAAAAAATAAAAAATAAAGAAAAGAAAAGAATAATTAGATGGAAGAATTTGAATATGTATGGCCTCCCCTTCAATCCTCCTTTGAACTGCTCATACTCTTATACAACCTGTAAAAATATCTAGACAACTATAATTTTAGGGTCTTAGAAAGCCAGTCTAGAATTGAGCCCAGCAAGGTAAAATGATAGAGAACAATGAATCATTTGCATAGTACATTGTAGAGCAGCGGTTCTCAACCTATGAGTCGCAACCCCTTTGGCAATCGAACGACCCTTTCACAGGGGTCGCCTAAGACCATCCTGCATATCAGATATTTACATTATGATTCATAACAGTAGCAACATTACAGTTATGAAGTAGCAACGAAAATAATTTTATGGTTGAGTCACAACATGAGAAACTGTCTTTAAAGGGCCAGAAGGTTGAGAACCACTGTTGTAGAGGAAAAGGATGAAACATAGAGTTCAGGACGGGGGTAGAGGAAGGGCTGTAATAGCAATGAATTTCATTCTTTGAAATATTGCCCAACATCCTGGTATTTGGGGAATTTACCTCCCTTGCCTGATACAAACTGTGGCCGCCCTAGCCAAGCCAGGCAGCCTGGACTGTCACTCGGAGCTGTTGGTTTTCTTTCCCCTGAGCCCCTCCAGACCTACTACACTCTCATTCATCTCAGGGCACGTATTGGGTGCAAACTAAGTGTAAGGATAGATGCTCTTGGGACAACTGAGCTTGGACTCAAAGTGGTAAATAACCACTGAGCTTTTAGATTCAGAACTATGCCTTGTGTGCATGGGAAAAACCTCCCTGATTTGGGTTCAATCATTCAGGGCCTCAGAGCATGGAGCAGGCTGAGCGGGCTGCCTCAGCAAGAAGATGAGCTCTAGGAAAAGGTGTTCTCACACAGGATCTGAAGGTGAAAGGAGAGCTGCCCCAGTGGGTAGGTGGGAGGATGGGTGGAGCTGGGAGATCCTTCCCAGAGATGAGAGCAGCTTTCCATTTTAAGGACTACAGGTCTGCAGGCCCACAGTTCTTAGGATGGAAACTTACAAAAATAGCACTGTCAGGAGGGACTCTTCACTCTCCAGTGGACTCTGTTCCTAAGCCTCTCTCTTGGTTCCTTTCACCTCACACCAGCTACCCAAAGAACCTAGCCTTGAAGCAGTCCACCTTTGTGTTGCTCCCTCTTAGAGCATGCAGCCTTTTCCCATTCAGTGTCCCAAAATCTAAGAAGCCTATAGGGTCTTAGAAAGCCAGTCTAGAATTGAGCCCAGCAGTTGGATAAGGGGACACTAGAGGTCCCATTAAAAGTCGTATGGGAATTTTAGAGCTTACATCTATGGAAAACCAAGAGAAGATAAATTTAAACTTGTTGAAAGCAACCAACACAAAAGCAGGATTTCTTAACCTGGGGTCCATCAATCCCCAAGGAAGTCCGTGGCAAATTCAGGGGTGGACAAACCAATGAAATTGTGTGTAAAATTATATATGTATGTGTAGGTGTGGCTGCATTTCTTCTGGAACAGGGTTCATAATCTTTATCAGATTCTTTTTTAAAATATATTTTTTTATTGATTTTAGTGAGAGAGAGGAAGGGAGAGGGAGAGAGAGATGAAACCTCCATGAGAGAGAAACATCAACATGGATTGGCTGCTTCCTGCACACCCCCTACTGGGGATCAAGCCCGCAACCCGGGCATGTGCCCTGACCAGGAATTGAACTGGTGACTTCTTGCTGCATGGTCCACGCTCAACCACTGAGCCATACCAGCTGGGCTATCAGATTCTTCATTGAATTCTATCAGATCTCCTAAAAAGTTAAACAAAACAAAGATTTTTTCTAGAGGATAAAGGTGGGAATAGGGTGTCAGGGGAATTTGGAGGACATTCCAGCTCCTCCCACTTCCCATGTGTTGGAACCATGTGTACAGTGGGAAACAATGACAAATACAGGGAAGTGACGGGTCACTCTTTAAAAAAGACCTCCAAACCCTGAGAATTTCCAAGATTTTCTTATAAAAGTTGTCCTCCTCTCCTTAAGTAACACTACTCTTTCTCACCTGTCCCTCTTCCTTCCATTTTGTCTTCACTGCTACAGGAGAACTTATTCTAGCAGCTGCTACTTGTTCAAAGGGATTAAGGTTAGAAGGGAAGAGGTGCTTGTTTGTCAGTCTGGAATGAGGAGCCAGGGTCCAGGAAAGGTTGAGTATGTCGTTTATGTGATTCAGTAGTTACCAAACTTTTCAAGCTTACAACACTTCAAAAACACCTCTGGATTCCTCCAAGGAATTGTAATTATACTTTCAGTATCTGTGAAGGAAAAATTGCATGCTGATAAAAAGCTACTATGCATTAAATAATCCTTTAATATTTTAAAAATCACAGCAGCATCTGTGTGTGTTTGAAAACTAGCTCAGCACCTACCTGTGAGATGAATTATTTGTTTGGGTGTAGGCAGTGTTGGGTGTGCATCAGGATGCAAGGCCCCCATGCTGTAACTGAGGACCCTCTCCCACTCCCACAAAGTGGGAATCACTGGTCTAATTTAATGTCTTCATTTTATAGATGAGGAAACTTTGGTCTAGGAAAATGAAGTTCCTAGTAAGGTAGGATAGAGCCCATTCCAGAACCTATTTCTCCTAATCATCTTCTGGGCTTTTTGCAGGATGCCCAGGCAGCTATAAATGCTCTTAGGGCATCCAGTCTCCCATTGGCCCTGGAACAGCCTCATCTCCCACACCCACAACCACACTTCCCCCTCTCTTCCCTCACTGAGAAGTCTCCAAAGGTCACCTAAGGGAAGAAGTGACTCTTGAGAGTTTTCCAGAGCTAGGAAACAATCAGACAAGAGAGTCAGCTGCAAAACCAGGTCTTGGCCATAAACTGGAACACAAACTGTAACAATGGCTGTCATGGGCTCTGGGTGCCAGCCATGGGCTTATCCCAACCTCATTTAGTCCTTACAGCAACCCTGTGAGTTAAGTATCATTATCCTTTTCATTTACAGACTAGTGGCCCGGTGCACAAAAATTGTGCACTGGGGGAGGTGGGGGAGAGTGAGTTCCTTAGCCCGGGCCTGCGCCCTCTCGCAGTCCAGGACCCCTCAGGGGATGTCCACCTGCTGGCCTAAATCAGCAGTCAGACATCCCTCTCCCAGTCCAGGGCTCTCTCAGTCCAGGATCCCTTGCTCCTTACCATCCGCCTACAGCAGAGGCAGGAGAGGCTCCCACCACCACCACTGCACTTGCCAGACGTGAGCCCGGCTTCTGACTCCTGTGCTGAGCGTCTGCCCCCTGGTGGTCAGTGTGCGTCATAGCAACCGGTCGTTCCACTGTTCAGTCGATATGCATATTAGGGTTTTATTATATACGATGAGGAGACTGAAGCTTAAAGAAGTGAATGACAATGGCACAGAGTTACTAAAGGCCTCAAAGATAGGATTCAAAGCCAAGTCTAAATTGAGACCCTGAGATGGTGACCACTGTGCTTCACAGGACTATGTTATGCAAGGCTGACTGGGCTCAGATTCTCGCATCTTCTTTAGGACTAAATTGTTTTGTTACCCCTTTACTCAAAGAATCATCCTAAAACTAGTCCCAGTTTAACAGTAATGTGTAACCCTCTCTCTTCCAGGAGATGGAAAGTGTCTTTGCCACATCTTCTAGGGACCCAGGTGGATTCCATGGACAATACTTAATCCTTGAGGGCAGAGACACCTACTTTTTAATATTCTAGCTTATAACCCCTGTACAGGGGGGTTGGAAATGGTGAGTTCCTGTGCTCATCTACCTCTGCTCAGGCTGTTCTCCATCCTAAAATGCTCCTTCCCCAGTTCACCGATTAATGAAAGAGTATAGGCTAATGTAAAGCTTCCCCTTCTTCATGAAGCTCTTCAGGACTATATGAATCTGTTTTTTCTCATTTTCTCTTTGGCCTTAAACACAGCTTCTGCTTTTTAACTCTTTGTTGTTGTTGTCCTCACCCGAAGATATTTTTCCATTGATTTTTAGAGAGAGTGGAAGGGAGGGGGAGAGACAGGAACATCAATATGATAAAGACACATTGATTGGTTGGGTCCTGCACGCGCCCCTGCAACCGAGGTACATATCCTTGATGGGAATCGAACCCAGGACCCTTCAGTCCACAGGCTGACTCTGTGGGCCAACGCTCTATCCACTGAGCCAAACCGACCAGGGTTGCTTTTTAACTCTTTTGACTCATGTGTAAGAATCTTATATCCCACCAAGCTTTTTGAAAGCATTCTGTGACCCCCCCCCCACCCCACCCCAAGTGCCCAGCTTGGGGCTGGGCATACCATACACTACTAATAAATACTTGCTGAATTAAATCTGGTGGTCTTTAGAACAAATTTCCTCCCTCCTGGACCATTTATTCTGGCTACATCTTCCCTTCAAAGTAATTGGTGTTTCCCCTCTCCCAATCCCTACCCAATTCCCCATGAGGCTCATGAACTTTGAAAGTACTGGGATGTGTTTTTGCTACCTTGTCAGAAACAAGTCTGATCTTTCTGAGACTCTTCTGTCTATGGGCCCACATGGCTCTGCCTGGAAGACATGACTCCAGTGTTTCTGCACCTGAGCAGGGCTCTCATAAAGCCCTAAGAGACCATGCAAGGCTTTAGCAGCTCAGCCTTTTAAAACCACCTGAGTCCAGGCAGTGGGTTCAAGGCAAGACACACAGAAAGGTGTGTGCACTGTTCTTCAACACTCTCATCATTTTCTCAAGGGCTCTTGTTTTTTTTTGTTTGTTTGTTTGTTTTTGTTTTTTTTTTTTTTGAACTGAACAAAAAAAAAATCTTTATAACAGATACCTAAATACAATATGGTTTTAAAAATGAAATCATGTATATACTAGTAGTTGTATTCACAAAGATAAGTATACTCATCAAAAACTATGCAATAATAACAGCAAATCCAAATGCAAACAAAGATATTCTTCTGAATTCCGTTTCATCGAGCATCAAAAACCACCAATCTTTTAGTCCTTTTCTTGTACATTATTCTGTATCCACATTCTCTGCATCTGATTGGATCCCTGGATTTTATTTCATTTTCTGCGTGACATTCTCCACAGATATATATCATTGGCTGCTGCTTGGGGGGTTGGGCGTCCTTCTGGGTGTCCATTGTTAACCCTCAGCACCAACACGCTTCTCCCTCTGCGATTCCAAACCGGCTGCCTCAAGGGCTCTTGTTAACCAAGTATGTTTGCCTTTTCCTCCCCAGGGAGGCTGAGAACCTCTTTATCTCTTCAGACTGAGACTGGACGTCTGGGGTAAGAGGCAATTCATCTCCTGATTCAACACTGCTGTCTCCCCAGAGCCCAGGACTCTGGCGTTGTGACTGAGCAGGCCCTCCAGCCACAGTGCTGTTGACTGACCTTCATTGGGTCAACCTAAGCTGCTAACTGAAGCCTGCTGGGAGTCTTGAGCAAGTCACACACCTCTCTGAACCTCAGTTTCCTCATCTGTAAAATGGAGAGGTGGGCATTGATCCCTAAACTCCTTCTTGCACTAATGTTCCAGAGTTCTAAAATAGCACTGCCTTCCCAGCCCTTCCCCCACCTCTACTCCCATCCCCCACTGCGTCCCACAGGATTATTAACCACACTGCAGCCAAGGCTGGACCTTGGCATTGTTCCTACAGGTTGGGGTAGTTTTATTGACAGAACAGGGTTAACATTATCAGCACCTGAGAAAATTGCAGAGGGGCACAGAAGGGTCTCTTATGACATTTGACATTAAATCAATAAATCAGATTCTCCTCTAGTTACCTTTGGAAAATGCTTTATTCGTTTCCAACTACCAGAGTACTATTACTCACTGAATAATTTTAAAAAATGTTTATTTGCTGATTTGAGAGAGAGGAAGAGAGAGAGGAAGAGAGAGTGTGTGAAACATTGATTTATTGTTCCACTTATTTATGCATTCATTGGCTTTTTGTATGTGTCCTGACCGGGAATGGAACCCTCAACTTTGGCATTTCGGGATGACACTCTAACCAACTGAGCTACCAGCCAGGCCACTGAATAATTATAATAAAAATAATAATATCTGAAAATTTTACCTCTTCTTTACAGTTTATAAAATGGTTTTACATCTACCACCTCCTTTTTATTTATTTTTTTATCCTTACCCAAGGATATGTTTTTATTGATTTTACAGAGAGAGGTAAGGAGAGAGAGAGAGAGAGACAGAGAAAAAGAAACATCAAGTGAGAGAGAAACATCAATTGGTTGTCTCCCACACACACCCTGGCTGGGAATTGAACCTGAAATCTTTTCATGTACAGGACGATGCTCCAACCAATGGATCCACCTGGCAGGGCTCCTATCTCATTTTTAAAACCTCATGACAACTCCATGTATAAGATAGGGATTATTATTCCCATTTTGCAGACCAGATAAATAGGTAACCTAAGTTACTCAACCAGAATGATAAAGCTGAGAATGGATGTACTGTGTCCTAAATAGAAGCCACAGGGACCTAGAAGCCAGGTGCAAACGCATGCCCTTTTCAGGATGATTACTTCACTGTGAGAGAACTCGGTGTGAGCATTTGAAGGAACCTCTCGGTAATATACACATTATATGCAAATAATATGAAGACTTGGTTATGGAGTTTTTGAACTAAGAGATTGCTGGTGTTTTGCAAAGGGACACTATAGTGCTCATTCTCTTCCTGCCCACAAGCAAGAGCAGAGAAAGCAGAGGAGATGGTGAGGGAAAGCATACGGGGCCATTTCCAGCCTGCTTTGTTCTTTCTTCTGATCATTTTTGTGTGGGAGAGAGAGTGGAAAGGGATGTAGGGATCTTTGGCCAGTCAAGACCTTGGGAAAGAGGAAAAAGCTCCCTATGTATGGCCCCTTCCCCTTCCTTTTCCCACCCCACAGCTTCTGCCTGGAGCGAGGCAGGATCAGAGAACCCTCTTGAGACCTGCATTTCCTTCATGAAGCCCAGGGCCTCCCACTATGGAAGGGCAGCAATGAAAGTCTGCAGTGGGAGCGCGAGGCTCGGGCTGCGATCTCTCCCACACACCACAGGTCTGATTAATAAAGGTCATGCCAGCCGTGACTCAGGCTCACTTCTAGAAAGTGGCAGAGTGTGATTCTTTTCTCTAGGAAGGAAAAGACTGAAAATAGTGACCATGTTACACTATCATCACCCTGAAATTGGGCAAAGGAAAATGAGGTGATGCTTAAGATGGTAAAGCCAAAACTTCACACTCATGTTCCTGTCTGGAGAGTAAATCAGTTGAACTCCGGGTACCTCTTCTGGAACTTTATATTCTGTGCCCTGGGCCCATCAGAAAGTACAACAAGTCGGAGGCAGGAAAGGCACTGGGTGAGGCAGGAAGGGCTGTTTGTTTTGGCTCTCCAAGGAAGACTTGCTGATCTGAATCCATCGGGTGACTATAGGGCTGTCGACAACATTTCTTAGAAAAGACAGCCACTCCAATTGCACTTACCAAAGGCCAGGAACGTCAAACAAATTATCTTGTTTAATCCTCACAACATCTCTGTAACAGAGGAGCTATTCTGAACCTCATTTACATGGGGTGAAGGTCAAAGTCACCAGCTAGTAGGTGCTCAGGGTGGGTAACCCCAGAGCCTGCACTCCTGGCCAGAGCACAGCACTGCCTCCCTGTGGGAGCTGGGTGTGGACAGAGGTCTCTGGGCACGAGACTTTGAACAGCAATGCCCAGAGAATGACCAGCCAGGTACAGGCTCAGGCTTGAGGGTGACTTTAGAGAGCCCTTTGCTAGGAAGAGGGCCCTGGCCCACTGCCCCACTATAGTTACCCAACCTCTGGGGCTAAATAAAGAGAGCCGAGGTGAGGAAATCAACACATCCTGGGGAAAGAGCAAAGAGAAAATGCGCAGACACCATGGGGCCTGGAGGCCGAGGGTCAAGGGCACCTGGGAGCCTGGCTGAGGGCTGTGGCCAGAGCCACTGCACTTGGCTATGTGAGCCTCCACCTGCAGTGACCTCCTTGGGAGCTCAGGGGACACTGAGAAAAAGCACAGGGGCCAGGCTGGTCCTTTTATCCAAGGAGCTCGAGAGCTTTACAGGCACCCCTTAATTACAAGCCCAGGAAAAAGGGGGAGGCGAATTGTGTTTTGGCCAGGACACTTACCTCACCAGCTATTGTGAAGACAGGTCTGGGAGGCAGAAGCAAGGCTGGGGGCGGGGCGGGGAAGGAGTAGGAGGCAGGGTTAGAGGGCTTCTCAGGACGGGACTGGGGTTTTAACTGCCAGGGAGAAGCCAGGGAAGCCTTTGCAGGGACAGTAGGCTTTGGCTGCCACCTGTCCCTCCCCATTGTCTTTCTTCTGACGTCCTCTTAGCATGTTCCAGGCTTCTGCACAACCTGGCTTAGGTTAGAGGACTCAGGACAACAGCAGGGGAACACACTCTTTTTTAGCATTGCAAGTGCCAGCAGCTCATAGCATTTATTTTGGAAGATGAGCACCCAGGGATTTTTAATCCTTTGTCAGCATAACTAGGGATTCTTTTCTCCAGAATTAGGTCATATAAGAGGCTGCCAGCCCTGGCTGGTGTGGCTCAGTTGGTTGGGTGGCACCCTGTGGGAGGCAGCAGATCGATGTTTCTCTCTCTCCCTCTCCCTTTCCTTTCTCTAAAAATCCATAAAGTTAGTTTTAAAAAAAGAGCTGCCGTATGGAAGGGTATATTCCCTTTTGGACAAATTTTAAAGGGATAGGAAAGGAAAACACTATGCAGTTTCCTTACACCATCCAGAAGTCTAGCTTCTAATTTATAAATTGGTAGATAGATTCATTTCATAGTCAAGAAGTCCCTGATCTTGGCATCTTGGCCTCCTTCCTATTTGGAGGGGGTGAGTTTCCTGATGAATCCTGTGACGATGTCATTGTCGTCCCTGGGACCAGAGCAATCACATTTTTCGCTGTAACAAAGAGAGCACCTACACAGATGATTTTCTGGCAACTCATTCCTGAAAACTGTGCTGCCACCACCCAAGGATCCAGACAAGTATCCTCCTCAGATCAAGCCCTCTCGCCATTATAATTATCTCTAATATAGAAATTATGTCTATAATAGAAATTTTATCTCTGTATTTCTATATCTACATTGCTACTCCCCCCAAAAATCAGAGAGACCATGGAAGTGCAAAAATATCCTGGAATCCCTGCTTGGCCTCTGTGTTATGAGCTTGTGAGCTAAATGGAAGAGGTCAAGACCTCAGGCTTACGTACGTCTTTCACCACGCTTCGGACCACAGCCTCCTCACCCCAGGCAGCTTCCCTGTCTTTGCGTGACAGCTGTTTGTTTTTCATAGGGCACTGACAATGCATGCCACCCGGCATGTGAAGGCATAGTCCTGCCCTCAGGCCTCTGGGAACCTGAGCTGGAGAGATACTCAGCTCTGGGTGCAAACACAGCTCAAAAGGCAGGCAGGCTGAGCCCTGAGATGTGGGGCCTTTGTTTCCTTCTCTGAGGAAAAAATGAGCTAACTACGTTACTTCTTTGAAGAAGGTGGCACTCAGGGGGAGTAACCAAGATGTCCTTTGATGGGGATAAGAGAGAGGCCGGAATCATGTTAGGGCCCAGGCACTAAAGAATGCCTGTGGATGGAGGAGGGAAGCGTGGCCTAGGCAAGTGGGAAACAGTGGAGGTAGAGAGGGAGGGAGGACAGGCCACTAGAGGAGAAAATGAGAGGGCACAGCTGGGAGAAGAGTGCCATCTGCTGAGCTTCCCACGGGAACCATGAGGCACACTGCCCCTTCCCCACCAGCCCAGCACTGACTGACCCAAATCAAGCCCTGGTGAGCAGGTGCCCATGGAGAAATCTGGAAAATAAAGGCAAAAAGGATCAGAAAGCCTGATCTTTGGGAGGCTCAAGCCAGACCAACCGATTCCTTTCCTAGTATCATTCCTACTGGCTGTGGGTCTTGGGTGAGTTGTGTTACTGTATTCCTGGGCAAGTAGTGTTACCTGTACTGTGTGCTTATTCTTAAATGAGTTCTTAGAGGATTTAAATGAAATGATAGCTGGTAAGTGCCTGACACAGTGGAGGTACATTCATTTCACAGTGGAGGTACATTCATTTCTCCTTCCAGGGAAGATAAGCCATTTAGTCTTTAAAATATATAGTGAGGCCCTCGCTGGTTTGGTTCAGTGGATAGAGCATTGACCTGCA